TTACCTTCGTAATTGCATAAGTGGAACATCTTTTGATGTTGTGATTTCTAATCGTCGTAAATATTTTTCTTTAACATAATAAACAAGATTTCCAACAACAGCATAAACTGGTCGTTCACGTTCTAATTTAAAGACAATCATACCATTATCATGACCTAAAAAAGAATCAGATTTTTTTTATTCTAATTAATTTTTTTTGAAAATAAACAAACCAGCAGCAAATAAATTTAATGTTGGATGAATTGCTAAAATCCAGAATCGATCATTTTCACGTCGAAATGTATTAATTGCTACTCTAAAAATAATAATTTCGAAATAAACAATTTATGTTACAAAAAAGACAAACCGTTTAGTCATATCCCAAACTCGAATTGATTTATCTTCACCATTTGATAAAATTAAATCTTGTCTTGCATGAAAAATAACACATGATACATTATTATAATGTCCACGACATGTATCAACTTCCCAAGCTTTATTTTCATTCATACGCCATAATTTAACAACACGATCATCAGCTGCGGTTACAATTAATGGTAATGTTGGATGAAATGTTGCCCAATTAACACCACGATCATGTCCTTCTAATACATGTTTTACAATAGCATCAGCCTAAATATTTTTTTGGTAAAAAATAATATATTGAAGTATAAAAAAAGAAACTAACTTGTCCAAATAAATCAGGAGTTCCTGTTGTACGTTGAATTTGTGATTGAAGTGTATCTGGTGATGAATAAACATTTTTCTTTCTTAAACCTGAAATATCCCAAACACGAACAGTTTGATCAAGTGATGCTGATACAACAAGATCATCAGTTGGATGAAATTGTGCACACATAACATAATGATTATGTCCTGTCATAACACAAACACATTGTCTTGATTGCCAATTCCATATACGAATTGTTTGATCATCACTTGCTGATATTATCCATGGATATTCATGATGAAAAAATGTTGTACGAATATAATCCAAATGACCCAATAATGTAAATAAACATTTACGTGATTTATAATTCCATACTTTTATTTTATAATCATCACCACCACTAACAAATAATGGTTGTGCACTATGAAAATGTATACCACGTACAGGACCGTCATGTTCATCAAATTTATCAATTAATGTTTTCATACGATAATCCCATAATTGAATTACACCAGAATGAAGTGATGTTAAAATCCATGGCCGTTTACTGTGAAAGGTTAAACCTTTGACACGTGCTGATTTCGATTCAAATTTAGTTAACATTATCTACAAATATATGTATTTACATTTATTCACAAAAAAGTGAGTTCATTCTAAATACTATTATCAATCAAAACAAAATAAGTGAGATGTATAATAAAAAAAAATCAGTATAAAAAAGAAAGCACTGTGAAGAAAAATATTGATTAGAAAAAATTGAGAATCATTGGAATGATTAGATAATATGACGGAAATACTATTGATCCTGTTGCATAATAAAATATAAATTCATCAACTACTTGCCAAGGATTTCGACCATCATCATAACGTATTGGACAATCATCATCTATTTTCGATAAAATATTTTCTTTTATTTCATGTAATTAAAATTAACTTACGAATACGTTCAGCTTCATCAAGTTCAATTTTAAGATCAGCACCATCTTGTGATTTATAACTTTCCGATGTTTGATTAAAACCACAAAATGATCCAGCTGATCTTGATAAATAAATTTTAAATAAATCCATCCGTTCATAAACCCAACATTTAAAATTAATATAGGGATCATCACGATCATATGTTATTAAATATGAACGTGAATCTTCTCTCCAATAACCAGCACATTGATAAATATAATCTGGTTGTTCATAAACACCAATGGGTGTTCCATATGGATCTACTTGTCGACAATATTCACGATCAGCAAACATTGATTTTGTTTGATCACCACATATTGACCATTGTGAATAGATAAATGTTGAATCACATGTAATATACCATCCACGATCACGTGGTCGAGGTGTAACACCACCACGAATTCGTGTTTGAATTAATGAATTTGATTGTCCAACTTGTTTAAATGTCCACATACCGGTAAATGGACATTCAA